TATTCTCTGTATACACAGATTATAGAAAAATACATCTCCACAGTACATAAAAATAACATCTGTGAAAACTTCACAAAGTAAAATACTATTTTATTACATTAAAAGAAAAAAAATCTGCTGTAATTCAATTAAACAGATAAGATGTGTTATAAATTTCAATTTTACCTCATTTTATTCCACACATCCATCTGGTCTTGCTTACTCGAGCAGGAGAGAGAGAGAGAGAGAGAGAGAGAGAGAGAGAGAGAGAGAGAGAGAGAGAGAGAGAGAGAGAGTGTGTGTGTGTGTGTGTGTGTGTGTGTGTGTGTGTGTGTGTGTGTCCTCTCCAATACAACACTCCTTCAGTTTAGTGCAAGCCTAGCGGGAATGTTCACCTCATGTCAGTTTCCATACTTCCTCCTGCTGAAGCACCAAGGGTTAAAAAATCAACTCCACAGGCAGCAGCTCTCTGTATTCCTTCTTCTGTAAATATTTGTGGGGCCTCTAGTGTGTGCCAAACATTGAAAACAGATAGAGGAGAGGTAGGGAGAGGACAGTTAAGAAAACCCTTTATTAAAATTCAGTGTAATAAGTACTCTAAGAAAGTTAAGCACAGGATATTGTGTGACTATGGAGAAAGATGAAGAGAACTGGCATCTAACTCTGTTTGGCTTTGTGGCCGGAAATACTTTCAGAAGTGGAAAAAACATGGACCGCTGAGTTGTGACAGGAAGCATTAGCCAGAGGGAAAAAATAACCAAGGGCATAACGGGCAGAAGAGCATCAGCTAAGTCACAGGGTCTTGAGGGTGCACAGTACGTTCAGGGAATTTGAAGCAGGTAAAACATCTGGGGCAAAGGAAATGTACTCGGGGCAGGGGAATTCTAAAACAGTGTCCCTACCACAGAACGGAAAGAGGAGGACACCATATTGATGCTACTAGTATTTGTATTTCAATAACAAAATTCTCCTCCAATCATATATATGCATTTGCTAGTTTATTTATTTGGGGTATTTAGTAGAAAAACGAACATTAACTTTTTAACAGATTTAACAATAACTGCCATAAATTAAGAGGGAATGGGATAGGATTCAGGTAGAACAGCTGACCTCAGATAAATCATGTTTTATAAAACTACCTAATAAAACAGAAATAATAGCAGCCTGTGATCTAAACTCCTATCAGTACCAACATCAAGAGAGCAAACACTTCTTGTATTTAAAACTCAAAGGCTTGGGCCAACCCTGTGGCTCACTCGGGTGAGTGCGGTGCTGGGAGCACCGAGGCTCGGATCCTATATAGGACTGTCCGGTGCGCTCACTGGCTGAGCGCGGTGCGGGCGACACCAAGCCAAGGGTTACGATTCCCTTACAGGTCACACACACACACAAAAAAAACTCAAAGGCTTATTCTTTACCCTTTGAGCATCATAACTTTTTAAATGTCAGTGCAACGTACTTGGGAATAAGGAGAGAAACATCACATATCTCAGGCAGACAGACTGCTTCAAGCTAGGTACTTTAATACAGAATTTCTACAGATTCTTGTTTCCTACTCAATTAGCAAGAAAATTCACATATCCTTTATTCTTCTTTGTTTGTGATAGTGTTTATTCTAATTTCCCTTTTCCTCAAGAAAATATACTGCAATTCTAGCCTCCTACCATGACTAAGAAAGCATTTATTTTAAGACTATTATATTTTAACTGTTTTTTAAATCTCTAAATAACTTTAATTCTTTGACTATTTTCATTTTATCACAAAAATCTTTTCATGAGGAAAATTAACATGTTCCCCTTTAAATACCAAATAACAACTGCATTATCCCAAACCCTGAAATACCTCTAGATTACCATAAAACAAACATTAAATGAAAATTATCATGAAAGGGTCACTAATATGTGCATATAAATATTGATTAAAGAACTGTGAGTCCATATAGCATAAGTAGTTAAGAGCACAGCCCTAGAGCTGGTTTGAGGGGTCACATCCTTGCTGGGTCACTTATTAGCCTTGCAACCTTACTACATTCCTCTGTGTCTGTTACCTTCTCAGTTGGAAAATGGGGGTAATAACAGTGCCTATCTCAAAGAGTCAATATAAAGAATAAATAAGTTTATATATATGGAGCTTTAAACAGTGCCTGGCACATCATAGATGCAATTTAAGTGTTAGCTGTTATTAAAGATAAAGAAATAAAAGTTCAGTTACTTAGTAAGAGAGAAGATAAACATAGTTCTTTCTTGCTTCAAAATAGCCTAATAAGTAAGTTAAGGAAAGGGGAATGGTATTTCACAAAAGCTTTTGTGTGAGTTTTGGAAGGAGAATGGCAGCCTGGCCCCGCTTCTCCAATCCCCAATTCCTCACGCTGGTCCCAGCCTGAGTGATCATTTTCTTCCCGCTTTGTGTGCAAGTCCACCATGCCGCCTTACACTACTTCTCACGCTGGGGTCCCTCACTCAATTACGAGCTCTAGGAGCTGAACCTCCCACAGGGGAGAAGCTCAATAAATGCTGAAGGACCAACTGGGTGACAATATGTTCACTCACGGCAGGTTTAGGTGACCAGAACTACATCTACATATATAGGAGGATATGTCCAGGTTTATATGTAATTTTGATTTCAGATATTATCTATAATATCAATGAGCACAGTTTCAAAAAATAATAAACAAGTTAAATAAACACTTCCCAAAATGTAAAGATAAAATGAAGCATAACATGCATCTTTACAAACTACATTATCTGTTTAGCAATATTTACAACCACAGTGGTTGTGGTTGTAAAGAGAAGGAAGCTATTAAATTGGCTGGGATTATTACAATATATTTTAAATAATATCTTGTAAAAGAACCAATGCAATGGAAAGGGACTTATAAGACTCTGTTTACTCCCTAACTCCAGTTCTGATTAACATGCTTGTTCTTCTGGTTTACAAGATAAGAATATCCTGGTGCAACACAAAGTCTATCAGAAAGAACTACAAATTTTTACCATTAATTTGCATACTCCAAACCTATGTATTATTCAGATCACTTCTCTTGATATTACTTTTGACTTCGATTTAAAGAGTCCTCACTGGCTCTAACCTAAGAGATCCAGCT